AACCATCCTATGTTCACTTCCCCTGGGCTAACATTTTCTTTTTGATAAATAAAAAATAAATTCTTTCATTGTTATACAACCCCACACCCCCAAGTCCACTCCACTGTGCAGGTTTCATTCTGGACTCTTGTCATGATAATAATACCTAATTATATATCCCTTTTAAACAGTTCTCTTCCTCATCTGTTTCAGTGCAGTAGATATTATTTATCCCCTCTTAGTTTCTTCTTAACACCTATGTCAGTCCTGTTTTACAGCAGTGGCACTATGCAATATTTGTCCTTTACGACTGAGATATTTAACTCACATAATGATGTCCTCTAGGGTCACTCATTTTGTGTATTTCATGAGTTCCTTGTTTTTCAGTGTAGCATAGTATTCCATTGTGTGAATATACCACGGCTTCTCTATCCATTTGTTTGTTGATGGGTGGGACATCCCTTTTATGATAGCACCTGAACACCAGTTTTTGCCTATCTAATACAAGGAACTAGGGAGCTCTGGTGGCTTAGTAGTAAGGAGTTGTGCTGCCAGTGCAAAGACATGTGGTTCAAATCTTCCAGCTGCTCTGCAGGAGAAAAATGGACAGTCTCCTCTTGTGTGATTTACTGTCTCTGAAAACCTGTTGGAGGGTCAGCTATGAGTCAGTTCTAACTCAGCAGCAACAACAACAGTAATATGAGGAAATATTACCTCTTTGTTGGTTTGTTTGGTAGTGCATGTATATTGCTGTGGTGTTGGAAGCTGTGCTACCAAATTTTACATTAGGTGACCCATGGAGATCAGATTGCAGTGAAGACTTCTGACAATAGAAAGAAGGGCCTAGAAACTTATTTACAAAAATTATTTTTAGATGCTATCAGTCATCTCTGACTCATAGTGACCCTGTGAGCAACAAGTCTTACCCTTGGCCTAAATCCTGTACCATCCTTACAATCTGACATGCCCTAGCCCATTATTACTGTGTCACTGCATCAGTCCATTCACTGCATCAGTCCATCTCATTGGAGGTCTTTCTTTCTCTGACTTTCTGCTTTCCCCAGCATGATGTCTTTTTTCCCAGGACTGGTCCCTCCTCATAATATGCCCAAAGCATGTGAGAGGTAGTGTCATCATTCTTGCCTCTAAGGAGCATGTTGGGTTGCACTTCCTCCAAGACATGTTATTTTGGCCATCAGTACAATTCAGAGGCATCTTCTTTGGTCTTCCTTATTCATTGCACAACTTTCAGATACACTTGGATCAGACACCTTAGTCTTCAAACTGACATTCTTGCTTATGAGCACTTTTAAAGAAGTCCTTGGCAGTTGTTGCCCAGTGCAAGATGTTTTAATTTCTTGACTGCTGCTGTTATGGATGTTGATTGTGTATCCAAATAAAATTAAATCATTGACAAGTTCAATCTTTTCTCCATCTATCATGATGGTCTAGTGGTGAGGATTTGTGTTTTCATAATGTTGAGATTCAAAGTTAAAAAAATTAGCCAGTGACAACCTGTGAATCCCAACTAAATATTGCCAGGTATACTGCTGGATGATGAACTTTGTAGGTTGGGAGGCCTTAAGAATATACAGTGGGCAGAAATATAAACTCCAGGAAGCTAAAGTTGTGAAGATGGTGCAGGAGTCAGCAGTGTTTCATTCTGTTGCACACGGAGGCACTATGAATAGTAGTTGACTTGTTTCAGTTAGAAACAACAGCTGCACAGGGAACCTGCCAGTCTTTGCTTAATTTCTTAGTCTTTTGCCTCTTTTTTGCTTTCCTGCTTCACTTTTTAACTTGTTAACTAAATCTCTCAAGAGGAAAAATGAGAAATTGAGTATTGGTTTTATCTTAGTATATTTCTTTCTTTCCCCTCCCAGTCCTTCATGTACTTGGTTGCACTTGATTACTTTCCAACTCATTTATTTTCCCTCCCCCCCAGGAGATGAGGGGATTGAAAATGTATTTCTTTCAAAAATTAAACCACTAGGAAAGTATAGTAGAGTCTTAAAACAGCAAACAGGTTACATTATCCCTTTAAGTAATAAACTGGAGGAAAGGTGATAAGACCGTTATCAAAATCATAAGGTTCACTGGAGTGGATATGCTGCTTATTACTTAAGCATGAGGCAGAAAGTGTTTTTGGTAATAGTGGGCTGTCTCTCCTTTGCTTTAAAGGAATCACAGCTCACTCTCTAGCCTCTGAGTTACTTTTCCCCCTTGATAATCCTGTTAAAAGGGCTAAAGAAGCTGTGCTGCAATCCCGAAAACAGGCACTTCGAATCCACCAGCTGCTCCAGAGGAGAAGGATGGGCATTCTCCTGTGCGATTAACTGCCTATGAAAACCTATTGGATGGTCAGCTATGGGTCAGTTGTGACTAGACAGTATACAACAACAAGTAAGCAGGTGGATATATCCGTGGTAAAGAAAGAATCACTAGAAAAGGACATGTTTGTAGAACACCAACAAGAATGAGGAAATAGATTGCCAGAACAGCTTCAACAATGGATTCAGACATACCAGTGATCATAAAGATGGTAAGGGCTAGGCAGCATTTTCTATTACACATGAGCTGGAGCTGACTCATTGGCAATTACCAACAAGTAAGCAACACTGGGGTTAGGCATTCATTTAATCTTGTTCTCTGAGGACTAGGTATTTCCAAGTTTAGTACAGATTTCTTTTTTAATAGTCAGTAGTTTCTCTTTCATCATTCATTCCCAGATGTTGGTGTATTATTATGTGCTGTTGAGTCAGAACCGACTCATAGCTGGCCTTACAGTGGGTTTTCAGAGGTTATAAATTGCATCTTTTTCCCTAGGAGCGACTGGTGGATTTGAACTCCCTGCCATTGGGTACGCAGCATGACTTCTTACCCACTAGGCTTTCAGAGCTGCCTAAAAACACCACCATCTTTTCCTTCAAAAGGAAGAGTATAATTTCAAGAAGGTCCTGTCACTCTACTACAGACCACCTCCTTCACAGCCAATGAGAAGGAAGCTCTGCTTTCCATATCCAGTATGCCATTGCCTGCCATGTGTTCAAATGATGTCCAGCCTGAAAGATACAGGATGTGAGAATAGCCAGAAAAACACATCTCCAAAGAGCCTTTCAAAGTTCTCATCCAAACTACCCTGTCTTTCAGTTTAGATCTTAAATTAATCTGAGGCCCTTGTACATAACACTACCAAGGAAGACAAAAGACCTAGAAATCCACTTATCACTTCTCAAGTTGGTGTTAATAGATTTTTTTTTATAGCTTACAGAAAAAGGATAGTGTTATTTCCTATAAATAAGAGGCTGGCAACAAACAGAAATACTCTCCTTAGACTCCACCAGATCGAAGGAA